AGTAGAGAATAAGTCTTTGGTTTTTTCCCCTTTGCTTCTACGCACAGCATTGCTTAACTTTTGCTTCCTGATTAAACTGTCCATGTTTTTACGCACAAGGGTTTTGTCTCCATCTTATTTTCCTTTCCCCTTTTGCTCTGTGGAAGAAGGAGGGGAAAGGGGGAGGGTGATAGAGTGTCTTGATGGGTATCACTCGCTCAGCCAGGGTTACCCCACCATAGACACTATAATAATGTCAAACTTAACAAGCATTAATATAATATAGAAATCACAATATGCTTGAAATTATTAGCAGGAAAGTGAATTTGTACTCTACTGATCTAAAAAAGTCCCATCCTGCTTTCAACAAAAAACAAGGAAAAACCATACAACACACATCGAACCTAAAGAACAACAGAAAGATCCATGAAAAAAAACCAAGACCATGACAAGCAATTTGGACACACTTAATGTTTTGTTATCTATTAAAGCATATAATGGCATTCATGTTTACATGGGAGTCTGTGTGGAACAGAAGTATTCTCATCATGTCTTTCGTGACAACAAACAATGGTCCTGTACCTCCATCTGCTGGACCTGGGATAGAACTACTACAGAAAGCTGTGGAAAGTCCTTATCTGATAGCAGGGCAGTATAAAAGCTAATGCTTTCGGTTTCAGCGGGATTTGCCAATTTGGACTCCCACCGAGACACATCAGAGAGAGCTCCCCTCCAACCCGGGTAAGCTGAGCTTTTGCCTTCCCCTGGGGTTTCAACGGAGCTAAAAGGAGCTGGGAGAGGCTGCATCTCCTCCCCCTCCCCCCAGCTACTATCCAGAGTTAGAGCCAGCATAAAGCTTCCATCCGCTCCCCTAGCTATCTGCATTCCTTTCATACCTCGCATATCGGAACTGTTTTGGAGCTTCTCTGGGCTTTTGCTTAAAGTGACAGTGCGGTTTCTGCTGACAGAGACTCTGCGGAGCCCTGCGAGACGCCATTTTGACTGTGGACTACATTGCCCAGAAGGCTGCAGTTATCCAGAAGGTCCTTGGACTTCTGGGCAGCCATTTTGGTTGCCTAAAACTACAGATCCCATCGTCCTCGGACTTCCGGTCGAAGTCATCTTAAAGACTGGTAATTTCAAACCTTTGGACTTTCAATTTCCAGCCACTGTTAACCCTTAATAAACCGCATAGCTTACGTATCGAATCTTGGTCTCGGCAACAATTCTTGAGCGTGGTAAAGGGTTATTTTCAATTTACCCTTGGAAGGCGAGCACCACGTAAACATCTCTGTCTCGTCTGAAGCCCTCTCTATCTCAAGGGGCAAAACCGTCGTGGTCCTGATGGCCGGTGACCTTTGGTACCGGTTCGCAACAGGGCCAAAAGGAATTTCTACAAGCCATCAACTAAGAAATCCAAACTTCATTCCCTATTTTCAGAATCATACAATCACCATGGTTGGAAAGGACCTCTAGGATCATCAAGTCCAATCACCATCCCAACATTTCCCTAACCACTAGACCATAGCCTTAAGTGCCACATCTACTCGTTTTTTGAACACCTCCAGGGATGACGACTCCACCACCTCCCTGGGCAGTCAATTCCAGTGTCTAACCACTCTCTCAGTGAAGAAATTCTTTCCAGTATCTAATTGCCACCTTCCCTGGCACAACTTGAGGCCATTTCCCCCCATCCCATCACCAATAATTTGGGAGAAGAGACCAATACCAGCCTCACCACAACCTCCTTTTAGGTAGTTCTAGAGAGCAATAAGGTCACCTCTCAGTCTCCTCTTCTCTAGGCCAAACAACCCCAGTTCCCTCAGCTGGTCTTCATAAGGCATGTTTTCCAGCCCTCTCACCAGCCTCATTGCCCTTCTCTGGACCTCTCCAGCACCTCCATGTCCTCCATGTTCTTATCGTGTGGTGCCCAAAACTGGACACAGTACTCAAGGTGCAGTCTCACCAGTGCCGAGTACAGGGGCACAATCACCTCCCTACTCCTGCTGGTCACACCATTTTTGATACAGGCCAGGATGCCACAGAAGTACCACAAAATGCTTTATACATTTAAGCACAAGTGACAAACAGCCTTCCTCAGTATTCTAACAAATAAATCAAAACTACTGTACTTGTAAATATTTTGTTAGAAAAATACATTATGTGTTTTTTTTTAAATGCTTGCACTGGCCATAATTACCCTGTATAGGTGAAAAGACATTCTATGCCAAAGTGTTGATTTTTTGCACCCATTTCATAAGAACGAAGAAAAGATGAATAGATGAGCAAAAGAAGAAACAGTAACATTTATAAAGGAAAGTATAATTAAGGGAAGAGGAAGGGAACAGATCAATACCTTGAACTGTGAAAGCAGCTCATCTCCTACAGTTAGTGGGCCTGGCTCATTTTCTCGAGTTTCAGCCCTCTTCAGTATTTCATCTATATCCATTTCCTGAAAAAGAAGTTTCTCTTTACAACAAAACAATTAATAAATATTTTTAGTTTCTCTGTCCATCAAGCATAGATGCACTGTTCCATTTACCTGAGGCTCCTCTTCTTCCCCTTCAGGTTCTTTAAAAAGTTCCTCGGCACCAAACTTCAAAATTGCTGATAACTCTTCCTTATTAAAAGGTGTTGAACTGTAATATAGAAAGTTTCAGAAAAACTTTTTATTTTAGTGAATTTTTTTCAAATTACTATAACCATGAATCAAGCTTCCTTTTGACTTTAAAAATATATTTAATATGTAAAATAAATACATTTACAATGACAATATACTTTGCAGTCTTCACTTACAGAACTCCTTACCACCTATTTTTTTGCCTTTTATTAACCAAGTGAAATAATTTGTATTTTTACTCAGTCAGGTATACTTAAGCATAAGCTACTATGAAAAAATAAACACATATACCTGGAAGGAGTAGAGCCTGTATGTAGTACAGTCTTCCCTGTAGTGTCCATTCTCTGAATGACTAAGTGATCTAACACCATCTTTTTCTTGGCTCTTTCAAGAATGTCTTCTTCTACTGATCCTTTTGTGACTAGCCGATAAATATTAACCTATGTATAGTATAAAAAAAAGGCTTTATTTACATGCTTGCAAATTACACGTGAAAACAATATTCAGATGAAGTTAGCAAAAAACCCTTGAGCGACAACAGGGAGAAATGTTAGCTGTGATTACAAATCATCTAAGTCTTATTCAACTAGTATTTCATATATAAAACCAGTCAGTTGTGTTACCATAGTCTCTACATAAATTATTTCAAAAAAATAAAAGAAAGAAATTCTTAGACCTCTCCTCTTTAAATTTCTGTGATTGTGATGCACAAGCATGACCATAAGGAAAAGTGTTATATCCAATTACTACTTGAAGTCTTCTGCAAGAAATAAACCCAAAGAACACTACAAAGTATTTAACTTGAAGTAAAAGAGATGTGCCTGAAGTACAGCAGTTGTTTTCTAGAATGACACGATGCAAATAAATGCAGGACAAGTCCACAACCCTTCTCCCTACCCATCCATATACTATGGTCACCATGCACTCCCTCCATATAGGGAGATCTCTTTTTTTTTTTTTTTTTTTTTTTTTTTTCCCCAAAAGGAAAATTAGCAACAATTAACATTTTTAGACATTCTTGCCAAGTATTAGTTCTTCTCAAAATACACGAGGACTGCAACAGCCCAGAAAGAGCTTATGGCTACCATATGAAACCCTTCTTCAGGTTTGGAGCTTAAAACATAACTCTGCATACCTGTCTCTTCTGTCCAATCCTATGAGCTCTAGCCTGCGCTTGCAGATCGTTCTGTGGATTCCAGTCAGAATCAAATATAACTACAGTGTCAGCAGATGCCAAATTAATACCTAATCCTCCAGCTCTGGTAGACAGCAAAAAGCAGAAGTCCTGAAAATATAGAATCATTAAAGTTGGAAAAGACTTCTAAGATTATCAAGGCCAACCATCAACCCAACACTACCACAACCAATAAACCATGCCTCCAAGTGACACATGTTTTTTGAATGCCTCCAGGGATGGTGACTCCACCACCTCCCTGGGCAGCCTGGTCCAATGCCTCGCCACCCTTTCAGGAAAAAAATTCTTCTGAACATCCAATCTAAACCTTCCCTGGTGCAACTTGAGCCCATTTCCTCTCGCCCTATCACTACTTACCTGAGAGAAGGGACCAACACCCACCTCACTACAACTTCCTTTCAGGTAGTTGTAGAGAGCAATAAAGTCAACCCTCAGCCTCCTCTTCTCCCCAGTCCCCTCAGCTGGTCCTCAGAAGGCATGTTTTCCAGCCCTCTCAACAGCCTCATTGCTCTTCTCTGGACCCACTCCAGCACCTCCATATCCTTCTTATCCTGTGGTGCCCAAAACTGAACACGGTACTCCAGCCATGGCCTTACTAGTGCTCAGTACAGGGGCACAATCACTTCCTACTCTTGCTGTACACACTATTTTTGATACAGGCCAGGATGCCATTGGTCTTCTTGGCCACCCGGGCACACTGCTGGCTCATGTTCAGCCAGGTGTCCACCAGCAACCCCCAGGTCGATTTCCACCAGGCAGCTTTCCAGCCACTCCTCCCCAAGCCTGCAGCGTTCCTTGGGGTTCCAAAGTGCAGGACCCGGCACTTGGCCTTGTTAAACCTCATAGAATTGACCTCAGCCCATTGTTCCAGCCTGTCCAGATCCCTCTGCAGAGCCTTCCTACCCTCAAGCAGATCAACACTACCACTTAATTTCCTGTCATCTGCAAGTTTACTGAGGGTGCATTCAATCCCCTCATCCAGGTCATTGATAAAGGTATTAAACAGAACTGTCTCAAATACTGAGCCCTGGGCAACACCACTTGTGACCAGTCGCCAACTGGATTTAACTCCATTCTAGACAACTCTCTGGGCTCAACCATCCAGCCAGTTTTTAACCCAGCAAAGAGTCCACCTGTCTAGGCCATGAGCCTCCAGCTTCTCCAACAGAATGCTGTGGGAAATGGTGTCAAATGCCTTACTGAAGGCCAGGTAGGCAATATCCACCACTTTTCCCTTATCCAACAGGTGGGTCACCTGATCATAGAAGGAGATCAGGTTGGTTAAAGAGGACTTGCCCTTCATGAACCCATGTTGGCTGGACCTGATCCCCCTATTGTCCTTCACTTGCCTGCTGAGTGCACTCAGTATGACCCATCCCATAATGTTCCTTAGTACCAAGGTCAGGGTGACAGGCCTGTAGTTCCCCAGATCCTCCTTCCTGGCCTTCTTGTAGATGTGTGTCACAGTGGCAAGTCTCCAGTCACCCAGGACCTCTCCCATTAACCAGGGCTGCTGGTAAATGATGGAGAGAGGCTTGGCAAGGTCCTCCTCCAGCTTCCTCAGCACTCTCAGATGGATCCCATCTGGCCCCATAGGCTTGTGAGTGTCCAGGTGGCATAGCAGGCCTTTAACTGCTTCCTCATGGATTAGGGGGGGCTTATTCTGCTCTCTGTGCCTGTCTTCCATATCAGACCATAAAAGAACATGTTGGAAGATCATCTTCCAACTTCAAATCATGAAATAAGAAATAGCTTTATGTACTTTAGCTATAATATTCTTCAAAGAACCAATACAAACACTTCTTTATGTGCTCTGTGGAGCAGACTATGAACTCATACACTTCTTTAAGTATATCATAAACATGTATCACTTGTAATACAGTAAGATGCTTATCATGGCTAGCACCAGTAGATCACTATTAGAATAGACTAGATTATTTTAGTTGGAAGGCATCTACAACTATCATCCCATCCAACTGCCTGACCACTTCAGGGCTGACCAAAATCTAAAATGTTAAGGACATTGTCCAAAGGCCTCTTAAACACTGAAAGGCATGGGGCATCAATTACCTCTCTAGGAAGCCTGTTCTAGTGTTTTTACCAGTCTCTCAGTAAATAAATGCTTCCTAATGTCAAGTCTAAACCTCCCCCAGCGCAGCTTCGAACCATTCCCACGCATCCTGTCACTGGATCCCAGGGAGAAGAGCTCAACATCTCTCTCTCCACTTCCCCTCCTCAGGAAGATGTAGCAAGCAATGAGGTTACCCTTCAACCACTCCTCTCCCAATCTACACTTGTGCCTGGCAATATTCTATTCCCAGGTGCAGGATTATGCAATCGTGATTTGCGGAGCGTGGTGATATGTTTTGCTTAGCATGAAGAATCGGTACAGGCCTTAGTTTCTCGTAGGCTTGAGAAAGGCCCTGAAGTGGCCTTGAAGCAGGAGAATACCAAAACATTTAGAAGATAGGGGATTCTGTTGGCGGCTCGCCCGGACAAGAATGATAAACATTGGCAAGGATAAGTACAACAATTCTATGAGTTACATAAAGCCTGGCAGAGCGGATGGACAGTGATTTTTACCAATCTGTGACTCATTTTAGGTGTGTGAACAGGCTTGTTAACCTATGGGGTTCGGGAGGCTGTCTCTTGTCTACTATAAAAGGCTGTATTACTTTGCAATAAACAGATTCGACTGTAAACCCCTATGGAGTATGCATCTTTTCTCCATATCTCGTCATGACAACTGGCGCCCAAAGAGTTTTGGACTTAGAATTTCTGGGACCTCTGAAGCATTTTGGGCTGAGAATTTCTAGGACACTGAAGCAGTTTGGACTTAGGACTTAGAATTTCTGGGACCTCTGAAGCATTTTGGGCTGAGAATTTCTAGGACACTGAAGCAGTTTGGACTTAGGCTGGTACCACTGGAGCAGCTTGGACTTAAGATTTTGGGACTTTGAGACAACTTGGGACTTAGGTTTTGAACGTGAGCCGCAAGCGAGAGCTCGGAGGCAACTCAGAAGGAATTTGAACGCGAGCCGTGGGCGAGAGCCCGGGGGCGGCTCAGAAGGAATTTGGAAACGTGAGTTGCAGGGGGAGGTCCCAGCGAGCTGCAAGACAGGACTTTAAAATAAATTTTATTTAACATTTACAAAGCAAACTAAAAGACTGGTTGGTGCGTTGGCCGGGGGTCGAGCCCCAGTCTCCTGCGTGGTGGGCGGGAGTTCTGCTGCTGTGCCGGGGAGGCGGATGAGGAGGTGGACTCCATCCACAGACCGGCAGGGTGAGTGATGGAGATGAACGCTGCAGCTCACCTTCTCAGAA